GGGGGTCGGGCTCTGCTCCCAAGGAACAAGGGACAGGACAAGAGGAAACAGCCTCAAGTTGCCCCAGGGGAGGTTGAGGTTGGACCTGAGGAGCAATTTCTTCCCTAAAAAAGTTGTCCAGGGCTGTGCCAGGCTGCCCAGGGCAGTGGTGGAGTCCCCACCCCTGGAGGGGTTTCCGAGCCGTGGAGATGTGGGGTGAGGGACACGGGGCAGTGGGGACCTGGCAGTGCTGGGGAACAGTTGGACTTGATCTCAAAATCTCTTCCAACCAGAAGGATTCCATGATCTCTGGTCTCGTTTTGAAATGTAAACACAAAGTTGAGATTTATGCTGTCTCCCTGACTTTTTCTGTTCTGTCTTGCAGTTCAAGTCCCCAAGTCTCTGAAGGAGAGACTGGGATTGCCCTCTGAACAGACCAGTACAGACACAGGTAATAATGGGATGTTAAATATGTCTTCCCAGTTTTACTTCCCATGAACTTCCACACACAGCCCTAAGAGTTAATTTCAAAGGTGTTAATTTAAAGAGTGCTGAAGCTGTCCTGATGGCTGCTGTCAGAGATGTGGCTCTAGGGGGGTGTGGGGGTGTTTTCCTCGTGTACCTCATTGAGTCTTCAAGATACAAGTGGCTTAAAAGAGGAGGAGAATATTGTGGAGAGTGATACTGTCCTAAGATGCATTCTTGGGAACATTGAAAGCTCGTTTTCCTTCGTACTGTGACATATTTTGGTGATTTTAAATATTGTTAGACTCTCTTTAAATGTTCTTTTCTTGTTTTTGGGGGGGATGACAGAGAAAGCTGCTAAGCCAGCAGGAGAGATCCACGTGAAAACACTGGAGGAAATTCGTCGGGAGAGAGGCAGCCAGAGACGAGGAGATCCTCCAGCTAAACCTCAGCCTGAGGGACGTTGCAGGACAGAAGCTCCCACCTCAGGGGCAAAACCTCCCCCTGCAGTTCGCATCAAAACCTTCTCGGGAGCCCTGGCTGAAAAAAACCACAAGCGACTGGAAGAAGAGAAGCCAAAACCAGAAGAATTTCCCATCAAGACAAAAGTGGAGAATGAACCCAAGAAGCAGAGCCTGTTCTCTCCAGCTGTGCCCAGCAAAGCTCAGCTGGCAGAGCCAGCAGGCAAAGCCAAGCCCTCAGGAGAAGTGCGTGTGAAAACCTTGGAAGAAATCAAGAAGGAGAAGGCTCTGAGGATGCAGCAGAGTGGAGAAAATGTGCCAGCTCCAGCAGCACCAGCTGAGCCTGCCCCAGCTGGGAGGAGGGTGTTAAGGATCACGAAGCTCATAGGTAATAATGGGGTTTGGTACCTGCCCTGGTGAGCTGCTTCCCCTGTTGAGTAAACAGAGTCTGCTCAGGATTCATTTTGCTGTTTTCCTCTTCTACTAGAGAGTAAAACAGCTTAAGGCTGCAGAGTCAGAAGGCAAAGAAAATTCCAGAATATGCAACCGTGTTATTTTGCATTAATTTTCTCTATTTCCCACTGGAAAATTGATTTACTGAGGAACTTCACAGTTTAATTTCTCTACTCTTGTGTTTTTTCCTGCCACTTGTGTGGTATATGCTGAATCCAACTTGACCTTCCACTTTGGCCTAGGTGGTGTTTAACTCAGATGTTGATGTATGTGGTTGCAAAGCATGTGTTGACTTGTTAGTGAGGGCCAGAGTGTTAAAGATCTCATTGCTCAGTTCTGGGTAAATCACATAAAAAAGGGATTATGTGACTGAGGGAAAGGGAGCTCAAATACTGCATGGTTTGCTCACCTCACAGGTTGATTGGAGCCTTTCCCTCTGTCCCCTTGTCAGACATCAGGGAATAAACACACAGAGGAAATGGGGATAACCAGGTTTCTTTATAGCTGTTAAAAAAATGATGTTGGGGTTTTTTTCCTGCTTGTTTTAAAGCACCTGGAAGAGAAGAAAAGAAGGTCGTGGAGTTGAATAAACCTTCTCCAAAAGCTGTCTCTGCACCTGCAAAGGTGAGTCCTTTGTGTATAATCATACCATTTTGGATACATTTGGTTATATTTTCTGTTTAACTCACTGCCATACCCCAGTTTGAGTGTGTTCCTACCTTGCTGCCTTCAGCAGGCACTGCAGTAAAGCTCTTAAGTCCTGTCACTTCCAGGAGTGTTCCAGCCAACACTGGAATCCTCACGCTTTGAATTAATCTGATTATACCTGATAACGAATCAAAAACCCTATTAGCACCAGGCAAAATCTGCAGGGATAAGGAGGAGGGTTTGGTTTTGTTCTCAGGGACTTTATCAGTCTGGAAGGAAATCCTAAAATCCTGGGGTGAGTATTTTAATAGGAGAGGATAGAGCTTTGTCCTGGAGGAAATCGGACTGTCGGTGAATGCTGTGTTGAGGAGCTGGTAGGACCTCCTCTTGCTAAAAAAGATTGCAGCTAGAACCTTCTGCTCTGTTAAAGAAGCTCACTGTGGAGGGAATTCAGGCTTTTGAAGCAGTATTTCCATAGCAAAGCCTGGATCTTGTTACAGGCAACGTGTTTTGGAGAAAATGTAGGATCTGAATGGTATGAACACGCTCTGTTCCACATGGAGCCATTTCAGAGAGAGAGTCACTCAGGGCTTCTTAATGAAATCTCCAGAGATTGTTCTCCTAACAGCCCTCTGCTTTTGTTTCTTCCTCACCCTGTGATCAGAGTGTGACTGATTCTAAAATTCAAGTGAAGAGCCTTGAAGAGATAATGAGGGAGAAGCAGCAGCTGAAACAACGCCAAGAAGAGAAGCTTCAGAAGGAAGCAGCTGCTGTGCCAGCTCCTGCTAAAAAACCAACCAAGGATAAAACTCCAGCATCAGGGAGTCCCAAAGCCACCGTGGCGTCAGGGTCAGCTTGTCAACTTGGAAAGAGGACCCTGGTGAAATCTCTGGAAGCTGGAGTTGAAAGCCCAGGAAAGGATGCTGCAGGAGCACTGGGGAAACAGGCAGGTCAGCTTCTGGAAAAGAAAGCTAAAAGTGAGTGGTGACTGGATGTTGAAGAGGTGCTTCAGGTCATGTTGTGAGAGGCAGAAGGTGATAGTTTTTGTTGTAACTCTGGCTTCTTTTTGTAACTTCCTTGCTCCTTTTTATGGCTTGTTGGTAAACAGTTGACTGTGTGGAAAATACAGGTGGGAATCTGGGAAGTGGCACCGGCCAAATACATTTAACTAGAGGGATTGTGGGGCTGTTAAGAGAAGCTTTTTGGTTTTGTTTTTTTTTTCTCCTGAGACAAAGCAAGGCTGCATCAGTTCTCTCTTCCTTTTCTAGCCAAATCTAAGGTGTGCCTGAAGCCTTTGGATGGGAAACCTGCCTCCCCCATCAAGCAGACACTGAAACGGAAGGCGCCCGAGAGCCACCCCTCTGCTGTGGCGGCTGTGAAGCCCTTGAGTGCCACTGCTGAGGACACAGGGGAGCCTCCAGCTAAAAAAGCAGCTCTGGTAAGGATGCTGGCTGAGCTAGGAGTGGGTCCTTAGTGAAATTTGTGCCCAAGTTTTACCCTCCTCTTGGAGAAAAGAGGACTTCTACAGGTCTCTGTTCCCTCAGCTCCCTGACGGGAGGTTCGAGCCAGGTGGGGGTCGGGCTCTTCTCCCAAGGAACAAGGGCCAGGACAAGAGGAAACAGCCTCAAGTTGCCCCAGGGGAGGTTGAGGTTGGACCTGAGGAACAATTTCTTCCCCTGGAGGGCTGTCCAGGGCTGTGCCAGGCTGCCCAGGGCAGTGGTGGAGTCCCCACCCCTGGAGGGGTTTCCAAGCTGTGGAGATGTGGGGTGAGGGACACGGGGCAGTGGGGACCTGGCAGTGCTGGGGGAAGGGTTGGACTTGATGATCTGAGAGGTATTTTCCAACCAAAACAATTCTGTGATTCCTAGGCTTTTGTTCCTGCTCTGCCAGAAGGCAGCCTGGTCTTCATACCTGGGAGAGAAAAGCCCCAAACCAGGTAACAAACACAACTTCTTCTTTTTCTTGATCATTGTGTCTTTACACATGTGGAAAAAAAAAAGAGTTTTGAGATAATTAATGCCAAAATCCAAGAAAAGAACAACGAATCTGAAATAATCTTTGAGCAGTTAGTAGGAATACTTGTTTAGATTGAGAATGCTGCAAGTTGGAGCAGCTTTTTTGGCTGTTTGGGAAGGCTGTTGGAAGAGCACAGAGAGCTGGTAGATGATCAGCTTTTCTCTCCTTGGAAGCCAACTGCTGAGCACATCGTGGGGAAAATAACTAAAATTAGGAAATATTTTGCAGAGGTTGACTTTTAACCTTTTTACAGTCCTATTAATGAAAGTGGCAACATGTCTTTGGCTACAGAAATTTGAACCTTCTTTGCCAGACCCCAGCTGTTCTGTCTTCACAGATAAATCCTGGTCATGGTTTGGGGATCAGAGCTGCCCCCAGACCTGTAACAGACACTGTCTGTTAATCCCTCTCACCCCAAAAGGGGAAGGGAAAGGGAATAAGGGCAAGAGACTTATTGACTGGAAAAGTAAAACAGCTTTAATGAAAACAATAATAATGCTAATAATAATTGGAATATATACAAAACAAGTCTGGAACCCAGCTCCCCCCTGATGCCAATACATCACTAGCAGCCCTGGGGAGAAGTCCCACACTGGACTCAGCAGCAGGTGGGAGCTGGGTCCAGGAGCTGGATTCTGGAGGTCAGTGCAGGAACACAGGGCTCTGGATCAGAGAATGGCTGGTGCGCTCCTCGGGCCCCAGCCACTGCAGGAGCAGCCAAAGAGAGGAAGGGCTTGACCCCTGTGATCCTTCAGCTTTATACTGAATATGATGGATATGGGGTGAAATACCTCCTTGGTCAATGGAGGGTTGTTTGTCCTGTCTGCTCCTCCCTGCAGATGTGGCCTTTACCTTCTGCCCCCCTCAGTGTGGCACACAGGGCTTAGCAGTGACCTTGGTCTGCACACCAGTCCTTGGGGGTAACTAAACATGGAGCCTTATCCCTGCTAGAGGCAGGCACTGCAAAAATCTGGTAACTTCAGAGAGTGCAGTTAGTTAGAAGAGCTTTAGCTGAAAACTAAAATCACTGAAAAGAATTGGTTCTGTTCTACCCCAAACCGGGACAATCCCCCCCCAAAAAATATGCACCTGCCCTCTAAAAGCAGCTCTGGGTTCATTACCAACAACCTCTGTGAGGTTGAGGTGTGGAAGGGGTGAACTACAGTTTGAAGAGCTGGTTTGCAGGAAGCCTCTCTGGATCAGGAAGGGCACACGCTGATTTATTCTCTCTGTTGTTTTTCCAAGCCCTGCACTGCAGTTTGGGATCCAGGCAGGTCCTGTGGGGCATCCAGAGGTCTCGAGCTCAACTTCAGATTCTCCCCAAGTCCCAGCCAAGACTCGACGCCTGAGCTCCACGGGGGCAGGGAAGGCCCCCTTGTCTGTGGAAGATGACTTTGAGAAGCTCATCTGGGAAATCTCAGGAGGCAAACTGGAAGCAGAGATTGACCTGGACCCGGGGAAGGATGAGGATGACCTCCTTTTGGAACTCTCTGAGATGATTGACAGCTGAACTGCAGAGCCTTCAGGTTTTAACAAAAAAAAAAAAGAATATTAAAAGAAACTTTGTTTTGTTGGATGCTCAGAGGTGATCCTATTTCTTGCTGAGGCTTTCCCATGGGTCTAAAAGCACAGCTTGAACTGGTAGACATTGGAAGCATCTGCACTCCTTGTCCTAAATTTCCCTGCTGGCCAGAGCCACGGTGCCATGGGTCTGTCTGTGGCCACCTTCGACGTGAGGAGGACAAAGCACTTGTTTATTTGGGGGCAGAGATGTGCCCTTCTACAAACCACGGGGGTTGTGAACTGATCTGCTGACCTCAGCAATGCTCTGAAGGCTTTCAATTTCAAGCTTCTTTCCTCCCCCCTCTCCCCCTTTGGCAAAACTCAACGCTGGGCACATTTCACAGCTTTGGTTTTCTGATTTCCTGGACGGTCGATCTCTAAAGCCTGGAGTTACTATGTCAACTCTTTTATGTTTTATTTATGTTCTTGTTTGGACTTTCATCTTTTTAGGGTAACTTAATGGAAACATCGGGGTGGGAGGGAGCAGAAGAATTAATATTTTGGACCAAACGTGCTGCCAGGGGTGGTGGTTGGGGTCAGGTCCATCCAGCCTTTACTTGGAATTATCAGGGACGATGCGACGTCGGTGTGAGAAGCAGCAGCAGCAGCTCTGCAGCACAGCCAGAACCCCCCCTCCCGTGGTGGTGTGCCGAATTTTGGGGGGATTTGTCAGCAAAAAAGCACCACTCTGGGGGTGGGTAGTCAAGATTCTTCTTGTAATCCCCAGTAAATGGATAAACTAAAAGTTGGTTTAAGTGCCTCTGGATTCCAAGAATCGCTGCCCTGAGCTGGCTCATCTGGGAGTGGCCCCTGCTGGGGCTCCACCAGCCTGGCACCCCCCCCGAGGGGCAGCATCTGCCCAGGGTGGGCATCTGGGAACCTTGTACTGCTGCAGGACCAACCCTGCTCCCCTGTTCCCACCCTGATCCCCTGGGGACCCTCCATCTACCCCCCTCTGCACCCCCACAGCGCAGACGTCTGCACTGGGGGCAGGACTGGAGGTGACTGGTGTGCCTGGGGGGTGTCTGCCTGCAGAAAATCACCAAGACTGGGGTGTCCTGTGTCACCACAGTGACTCCTTCCCTAGAAGATGCTTTTTGAATAATAATCTTAATTTTTTTGAAGAACTTCAGTCTCCTCCTGCTCTGATGGGTGAAGCTCCTCGGGCGTTTGCTGCTGGTAGAGGAAGACACCAGTTGGGTCAATTGTAAATAGTTTCTTTTTGGAAGAAAACACTTGTGTGCTTGGATCATCCACTGTGATGTCTTAGTTCCTAGAGGAAAGCTTTGAAACCAGAATTCAGAGAAC